TGTACGAAGAAGAAGAAGAAGAAGAAGAAGGAGGATGAGGAGGAGGAGAAGAAGAAGAAGAAGAAGAAGAAGAAGAAGAAGAAGAAGAAGAAGAAGAAGAAGAGTAGGTACAGGAGGAGAGGGAAAATAGGAGGAGAAATAATTAGGGCGATATAGAGATAGCAGAAAGAAGAAGACGAAGTAAATGGAAAAGGTAGAGGAAATAGTTAAGGTGAGGTACAAAGAAGAAGAAGAAGAAGAAGAAGAGGATGTTCCATTGTCAAAATGAAATCTTAGTATTAGGCCTCTTAAGATGGATGCCTTGAAATTGAAATAAATCAAATACAAGCATTCAACATAAAAAGGAAAGAGCAATTATCCGAGAAAATCAACAGAACAGAAAAACAAAAATGATGATAAAGTGAATGAAAAATGGGAAATGTAATGAATTTGAGTAGACAAAGTGAAAGAAAGAAGTCGTGGAAGGAGCATTAAGATGAAAATAAACTTGATTAATAACAGATGTGCAATGATTTGGGTAGCAACTGCAGAGAGAAGAAAACTGAATGTGTGAAAATTTGGAAAAAGAAGAGAACACACGACAAGAGCAACGAAAAGGAAGAAAAAACACATTTCGTTAAATGAATGAAAAAGAGAAAACAACACTCTGAGTAAAATATGTTTCTTATCGTTAAACTTGATGCGATAGATAAGTACAGAGGCAGGGAGATAGGATCATCAGAAAATGGAGAAAGAATAGAGTAATTCTGGTATTTTTACTTTTGTGTTGTTTGATTTTCATTGGTTAATCATGTTTCTCGAGTACTCGGCTTGTTAAACAAAGGTTAGTATAATTTGTGGAAATCTGAATTCAAGGGGAGACAACACGTCCATTCGACGTTCCAATAAATTAACGGATCCCATGCTGAACTAAAAAACCTTAGGTATTGCTTTATGTGTAAGTGATTCATAATTCTATTTTGTCCATATGATATTTAAATGCTAATGTATATTCGTAAATATGTATCTTTCTATGTCTAGTGCATATGATATGTAGTTTTTTCTTCATATGTTGATTCCGGAACATTTTTACATATATATCGTTTGTTTTAGATAAACATCCTTTAGCTTCTTTCAGAATGGATTCAATAAATGTTGCTGATGTAATATAACATTTTTGACGTATGTTTATATTTAGAGGTATTGTTATTAGTAGTCCCTCGAAGTACTTTGGAGGTAAAGAATTATGTTCTTTTTAATTAGAGTGGCATTGGTAAAATCAATGTTATTGCCAGTTAGGTACTTTTTTTTATTACGGTGATATTTGAACGCTTGTCTCAACATAAATCTTTTTTATGTTAAATATCTTTCTCTTGAACCATTTTTTTTTATTACGGGTGTATTTGAATGCGTGTCTCACCATAAATCTCTTTTCTATTACATATCTTTCTCTTGAACCAATTTTTCATAAAAACAGGTTTCTGAAATTAAGTATCTTGTATCGCTCTTCCTAGTATTAGATGTGTTATTTTATTTCAAGCAGTGGAAATTGTCAACATCATTATTATGTCATTATTTTCGTTTTGAGTTACATGTGTTATACACTTAAGTTATTTCTACTGTTGGTAGTTCTCAGGTTATGTGGTTTCTGTTATTTCATATATTTCCTTATTTTTGATTATATAGCGACAATCTGCAATGTTTAAGAAAGGTTTATCTTTGCAAAAACTCTCAGACTCAAATCGCTCTAAGTATTTTTAATCAGTAATCATAGGATGCGGTTAGACACCACAGATTGTTTAGATATTTCTGAACGGATTTGGTGCCATGCATGACATCCGTATGAATGTGGCGATCTGACGAAACTCTTTAAGAACAGAAAAATCTCTCATCAACGGACTAATAGAGGTAAGGGGTGGTCCGTTAAACCTGATTGTCCGTAGATGGGAAGGGATTATTTTTGAGATATAAATCCATTATAGTAACTACCAGTAGTTATGATCATAATATAAATGTTATAAACATGTATATATGGTATAAATAAATATATACTTAATATAGGTATATTAATCAAAATAACAAAAATAATAGATTTCTCACAACTACTTTTACATGCACCCAGTAATGTATCGTACTTTATATACTGTACACCAGTCTTTGTTTAAAATTTAAAGACCCGCAACTGCTGCCAAGCGGTCACTTAGAGAACTAATATGACTTTTTCCGCTAAGCCTGCAAATTTTGAAATACATTGCTTACGATTTGGAAGTCTTTTTTTTTCTTTCAGATTTTTTTTTTTATTTTGCCTGAAGTTTTTGTCTCAACGTAAATTTTTGTCCGTTGCATCCGAAGTCTGTTGATGAGGAGTCCGCAAATGTACATAACTTGAAATTGATGTCTTAGCACGTAGCTCGAAATTGATGTTTTAGTTTAGTTGCAATTTGATGTTTGGGGCGAATGTATATTTGGCGCAATCTATTCTGACTTCAATTCCTTTTTTCTACTATACTCAATTGTTTTATACGTAAAGTTATCTGAATTGTTTAGTAGTTATTCCACATCCTGGATTTTATGAGGAATTCAGGGTTGTTGCCATCAATGATTTAATTCCAATTCTAGATCATATTTTCTCTTTCAGAAATGTGTAACTTAAATCCTATTTCTTCATAGAGGGCATACATTTTCTGTTGAGGATCAGTGTTATTCCAACTATGGATACCTATGTCATCAGAATAATCCCCCGTCATCATTAGTATATTGGC